ACTTCAGCTCGCTCAGAACTCAATTGGGAGGGATTTTGTGGGAAGCTTCCATGGAGTATAAAGAAGCTAGCAAGTGTTGGGGGTTTTTCAGCTTTCCTGGGAGCACAAAAACAGTTCCCCCCTTTAAAGGTAAGGGAAGTAGGTGGAGCAAGAGACCCCCTTGGCTTAACTGTGAGGTTCTGAGTCTGCTCAAAACCAGAAGAGAAGTGTACCAGAGATGGAAAAGCAGATGAATACTCATTGAGAACTGAAAGGGCCTTGCCAGGGAATGCCGAGAGGCAGTTAAAAAAGCAAAAGCTCAGCTTGAATTGAAATTTGCCATAGATGTCAAAAGCTACAAGAAAGCGTCCTTCAGCTACATAAAAAACAAGCAGAAACAGAAGAAAATACTGGCCTGCTGTTAAACAAGGGAGGTGAATTAGTCATTAACAATTCTGAAAAGGCAGAGGTTCTCAACACTGTCTTAACCTCTGTCTTTACCAGCACTGTTGGGCCCCTGACAAGCAGTACCCGGGGGGTGTGGTAAATGACTCTTCAAACTGGCAACCTGCTATAAGTGGGATCTTCCAGAGATTGATACTGGGCCCAACACTGTTTAGTATCTTCGTTCAGTGATGTGCGTGATGGGCTGAGGTGTACCCTGATGAAGTTCGCTGATGATACCAAACTGCATGGGGAAGTGGACACTTTGGGAGAGCCCCCCTGCAGCAAAACCTGCCTGGATAGGCTGGAAGAGTGGGCGAACAAGAGCTTTATGAAGTTCAACAAAGACAAATGTAAGGACTTGCACCTGGGGGAACATAATCCAGGAGTGAAGCACAGACTGGAATCTACCCAGCTGGGGAGCAGCTCTGTGGAAAGAGACCTGGGGGTCCTGGTGGACAACAAGCTCAATAGAAGTGAACAGTGTGCTGCCATGGCAAAGAAAGCCAACAGGATGCTGGGTTTCATCAACAAGGGCATCACCAACAGAGATAAAGAAGTCATTATGCCACTCTACTCAGCACTTCTCAGGCCACACGTGGACCACTGTGTTCTGTTTGGGTTCCCTGCTATGCAAAAAAAGATGTGTAGAGGCTGGAGAGGGTCCAGAGAAGGGTCCTCAAAGGACTCGGAAGCCTGCCATATGAGGAAAGGCTGAGAGAACTGGCTTTGTGCAAGGGAAAAGAAGTCTTAGAGGAGACCTTATCACCAGGTTCCAGTATTTAAAGGGTGGTACAAAGAAGGTGAAGACTCCCTTTTTACCAGGAATCACATGAAAAAAATGAGGGGTAACAGGTACAAGTTGTTCCTGGGAAGATTCTGATTGGCCACAAGAGGAAATTTTTTCACAATGAGAACAATGAGCCCTTGGAATAATCACAGAATCACAGAATTGTTGGAGTTGAAAGGGACCTTCTAGAGATCATCTAGTCCAACTCCCCTCCCAAAGCAGGATTGCCTATAGCACATTACTCAGGACTACATCCAGGCGGGTCTTGAAGATCTCCAGAGAAGGGGACTCTACAACCTCCCTGGACAGCTTGTTCCAGTGCTCTGTCACCCTCACCGTAAAGAAGTTTTTCTTCATATTTGAATGGAGCTTCCTGTGTTCCAGCTTGTGCCTGTTGCCCCTCGTCCTGTCTCTGGGAACCACTGAGAACAGTCCGGCTCCATCATCTTCCAACCCACCCTTTAGATACTTACAAACATTGATAAGGTCTCCCCTCAGCCTTCTCTTCTCCAGGCTGAAGAGCCCCAGCTCTCTCAGCCTTTCCTCATAAGGGAGAAGCTCCAATCCCTTAATCATCTTTGTTGCCCTTCGCTGGACTCTCTCCAGTAGTTCCCTGTCCCTCTTGAACTGGGGAGCCCAGAACTGGATGCAGTATTCCAGTTGTGGCCTCACCAGTGCAGAGTAGAGGGGGATAATGACCTCCCTCGACCTACTGGCCGCACTCTTCCCTATGCAGCCCAGGATCCCATTGGCCCTCTTGGCTACAAGGGCACTGTGGAGAATGAGGAAGTTGGAGACATGCTGCTGAGGGAGAGCTCGGCAGGTGTTCTTGCACTGGTGGGAAAGAAGCCTTGGGAACAATAAAACAATGTCTTTATATGGTATTATTTAGGTGGTGTGAAATCTGGCAAGGCAGTGCAAAAACAGATAACAAGGCAGAAAAGCAGATAACAGTGTATTGAAGCAGACAGTAATGATTGGTTAGCCTAGGTGTGTGATCAACGGATAGAAACTACATATGCTGTAAAAATGAAACATTAAAGGTCTTCGTCTTTGTTTCACCACTTGGCGGAGTCCATGCCCTTTGTTGCCACAGGGCACATTGCTGGCTCATGGATAGTTTACTATCCACCAGGACCCCCAGATCCTTCTCCTCAGTAGTGCTTTCAGCAGGTCCATCCCTAACATTGGTGCCTGGGGTTCTTCCTTCCCAGGTGCAGGACCCTACGCTTGCCTTTATTGAACCTCATTAGGTTCTCCTCTGCTCAGCTCTCCAGCCTGTCCAGGTCATGCTGGATGGTGGCACAGTCCTCTGGAGTGCCATCCAGTCCTCCTGGTTTTGTATCATCAGCAAATTTGCTGAGGACACACTCTGTCCCCTTGTCCAGGTCATTGATAAATATGTTAAACAAAACTGGACCAAGTATTGACCCCTGAGGGACACCACAGGTTACAGGCCTCCAACTCAACCCTGCTCCATTAATTACAACTCTCTGAGTCCTGTCACACAACCAGCTCTCAATCCACCTCACTGCCCCCTCATCTAGCCCACACTTCCTTAGTTTCCTAATGAGGATGTTATAGGAGACAGTGTCAAAAGCCTTACTGAAGTCAAGGTAGATGACATCTGCTGCTCTCCCCTCATCCAGCCATCTAGTTACAACATCATAGAAGGCTATCAGGTTGGTCAAGCACGACTTACCCTTGGTAAGTCCATGTTGACCACTTCCAATAACTTCCTGTTCTTCAAGGTGTTTGGAGATGACTTCCAGAATGAATCACTCCATTACCTTCCCAGGGACAGAGATGAGGCTAACTGGCCTGTAGTTTCCCGGGTCCTCCATCTTTCCCTTTTTGTAGACTGGAGTGATATTTGCCTTCATCCAGTCCTCAGGTACCCCCAGGGAAGTGGTGGATTCCCCAACACCGAACACTTTCAAAATTCTGCTGGATGGGGTGCTGGGCCATCTTGTCTAGACTGTGCTTTTGCCAAGAATGGTTAGACCAGATGATCCTTGAGATCCCTTCCAACACAGTATTCTATGATTCTGTTATTCTTCGGTAACTGGTAATCCTTCTTTCAATACCCTGTGAAGTCTATTGCTGCATTTATTGCAGCAAAGTGATACACACTGCTTGTAAAAATCTTTCAGAGCCTGAATTTACTTTTTAAAATAATTTTTTAAAAAGTCATTCGTAGAGAGGTCCATCATTTTTGTACATTACACTTTCAAAATGTGTCTCGTACAGAAAGTAGCAGCACTGACATAGCGAGGTTAATAAAAACTTGAGAGAGATTCTGCTTAAGTCAAGGCATTTGAATCATCATGTTTTGGTCATGAACAAAACTGATTTCCAGTGTAAATACTGCTTTTCCGTAAGTGTCTATTCCGTAATCTTCTACTTGGCAATCTTAACTTACATTAAAATATGTTAATGGCATTAAAAAAATATATTTAAATTTATTGTGACATTGCAAGAAAACGTGTAATGTTTGCCTAAATTTCATTTTCTACGCTTAGTGTGGATCAGGTTATTAAGAGCTGCATGTACATTTGAGCTTGGAGTCTAATGTATGCACACGTTGTTTCTGTTCTTCCTTGTCAAACTATATTTCAGACTCTTAACATATGTAGAAAAAGTAGGAAATCTGCTAAAACAAGACCTTAGATATAAATTTTAAAATAATGAATAAGCTCTGTGTGTTTTTTTTGTTGTCCTTGATTAATTTAGAAAAAAAAAGTCAGGGAAGGGAAATGTAGACATGGGGAAAAATGGGGAAAATACAGAAGTCTATATGGCTCAATAAGTCAAACTGCTCTTCAGACAGCCTGTACTGAAGACCTCGGAGTTCCTTTAGTTAGTGAAAACTAAATAAAAATTAAATTGTTTAGATAATTGCAAAATCAGGTGTTTGGACTGTGGAAGAACAGAGATTCATTTAATACTGGTTTTAAGTTTTATGCCCCAGTGTCCCTGTCAGTAAGAGCTGTACACTTTAGCACTTTGAGTAGGCATAACCCTTGCGTACTACTTGAGTTGAGCGTGTAGATGTAAAAGATTTTCTTTTTTTTTTCATGTGGCCAGCACAAGTGGGTAAAAACAGAAGCAGATAGAAAGAGTTGGAGGACCTTTGGAGAAAGCATGGTGAAAAGGGAATGCTTTGGAAACAGATTATAAAAGCTCAAACAGACTTCAGAACATAGCAAAGCCCAAGGAGAGAAAAGTACTTTTCTTGTCCTTCTGGTTGGCTTAATTTAGGTCTCTGTTTTAGAGGGAGGTCAGTTCAGTTCTGTGAAAAGCTCTGTTGCACCAATAGTACTGATCCTCCCACACAAAATAATTGACAAGAGTAAGCCTTCAGGGGAATATTGAGAAAACAGTCTTTGTCTTCTGTGGTTCTGTATCAGCATTAATTTTTGTTATGCGGCATCGCATGGATGTGCATTTGTATTTAATGTGTGGATAGCAATCTCTTATTTCTATGTACATATTCTGGGAAAATGAGTTCTCTTGTCTTTTGTCTAAACATTGAGGAAGTGGGCTTATTTTTTTTATGTTGTTGTTGTTGCTTTCTAGTTTGGTATGCAACCTGGAAATGAGAACAACTGTTTCACTTCGCTATTTAAAATGTTTAGGTGGCATGCTATACAAGACTAGAGAATGTTTGTATATAAAGTATTAGTCTCCTCTATAGTGAAGAGACAACTGACAGACTTCTGGATCGCAAGAGGAAAATATGTGGTTTCAACAGGTGACTGAATTGTATGGTTTATGGTCTTTACAGATAGACATACAAAGCTGAAGAATCACAAGTTGAAATGAGTAACGAAGAGTCTGACGTTCTACGTTGCTGGAGATGTAGAAAATGTATAGCAAATTCTGTTTGTCTTGCAAAATGTCATGGAAGAGAACCATCTGAAGTAAGTACAGCATCTGCAGGGAGTTTGCAAATTTTTCCAGTGCCATTGTTCTTGAATAAAGAGGTAGTAGACTTGTCCTCACTTAGTAATTAATCTCTTTTGGCGATAAGTACTAAAATATGGACAATTCCATAGAGAGTAACATAAGTAGTAATGGTAGTGAAGCTGAATAGGCAGTGATCACCTTCACGTTCTGTGACATGAGGGCTGATATTCATGATACATTTGACTACTAGCTAGTGTAGAGTGTATAGTGTTACCACTTTTCATATAAAAATGGGTTCCGTTTTTGCCAGCTTTAATGCCGTCATTTTTTGTTTTAATATCTTTTAACAGAGAACTCTTTATTTCTAAGGTGTTTTTAAATACTGATACTAATTTCCAGTGCAATAGTTAACTATGTGTCAAATATTCCTGCATCAGAAACTTCTGCTCTTTAATTTGAAAAAGTGGGAAATAACCTGGCACAAAAATAGTTCCAAATATTAGCCAGCCCTTAGGGGGAGGGAGTGCCCTGCCAGGCTAAAATACCTTTCAGTAATTTACATTGCCTTTATTAAAATAAGCAGAAAAATAATCATACAGAATAAAACAATGACAGAGTATTTCCTGCTGCTTTATAATGGAAGTTAGTAACCACAAAGACTTAGAGTCTTTCCAAATATGCCAAAAGTCTGTGCTTACATCCTATGATCTTGAAACAAAGTGAAAAAGCAAATAGAAGGGAAGTTGTTGATCTTTTTTATTGATGCATTAGAAATGCAACAACTCTTTTGGGCACTGGAGAAGGGTATAACCAATAGAAGTAGAAACAAAGTCACTAATTTTTAAGACCCTGGTATAATTAGTATTATTAATAAACCCCATTTTAATCACTCTGCCTGCAGAGCTTGAAGTTCTGGAATGGAATTGTTTTCATTCTTTATACTTGAAGAATTATTATTTTGTGCATGGTTTGAAGCCATTTTTGAGGGTGTGTCAGGTGAAATTTCAACTCCTTTCGTGGAAGAAAAGCAGTGAAAAGAAGGAGGTATCTTTGTCCGCAGTGGAGCTTTTAATTGCTAGTGGAAATCCACCATCATTGTGCACAAGATTGAAGTAGCTCCATCTCTAATTATGGTAATAAAAAGGTAATTTAACTCTACTTCCTGAGACACTGGGAGGCAGAGTTTGCACTATGATAAGAAGAGTTAAAGACATAGCTGAAATACGAGTGAAAGAGAAAAATCTTAGAACAAATCTTAAAACCATATGTTGAAGTTACGAATGCAATATAAACACTCTAAATAAGAATTATATCCAAGTTGAAGTACAGATACTCTCCACAGATAGGAGGAAGACACTAGTGTAGACATAGCAAACGGATCTATCTGTCTGCTGTCATTACTTGTGGAATTTCTAAAATGTTCTGTCTTCTCTGTATAGCCCCACTTTCAGTCTTCAGCATAATGAAACTTTAATTCCCTTGAGTTTCATAATATAGGAGTCGGTGTTTTCCCATATTCATAAATTTTAACAACTGATTTTAAGACTTTAACACTCACTGGAGTTTCCTTATGTTTTTATCCATCTTTGTAAATTTACTGACATTCTAAACCATATTAAAAGATTTAATTACACTAGTATAATTTCTGTGCTTAAAGGTAGTTAGGTAAATGTTTTGTTTTAGTATCAGTTGGTGAAATGTAACAGTTTTTTAGATAATTATTTTCTCTTCAGTTGGTCACATCATTGCAGTAAAAACTCAAAAGTTGCTAAGAGTAACTGGTTTATCTGCTAGTTAGTCTAACAAGCATTAGAAAATTAATTTAAAACTATTTGTGGCATAGTTGTGCAGTACTGACCACAGTCTTCATATAAACTAGAACTCAATTTTTCCTGTCTTTACTGGAAAATTGTGCCAGCTGATGATGCTTCTGAAATCAATTTCCGAATATACTTAGAAGATCTGCAATTGCATACTTTCTGTTCTTGTAAACAAAACAAAACCACCTCCAAACGCCTCCATCTCCAAAGTGGAGTCTATCCAATGTCCTTAGATTCAGAAATAGACAAATGTTGACAGCATCTACTTGATTTTTAGCTTGAAGAATGCACTAACATCTTTGAGTTTTATCATTTGTTAATAAAATATTTACTGAATTTGGGAAGCTGAGTTCTAGCTATATTCAAACAAAAAAAAAACTTACATGAATGTTGAATATACAATATTTCAATACAATAATTCTTCTTTTTAGCAGACATCACAACCCTCAGCTGCTGCTCAGGAATCTTGCAATGTATGGCATTTGAACTTAGAAGCTATTCCAGAGTGGGTGAAATGTGTCATTGAAAAGGTAGATCTTTTTTTTTTTTTGCTTGCATCTTTAACATTCAAAATGTGAAAAAAGTAAGGGGAACAAATTTCAATGGCACTTTTCTGCCAAGGTCCACATATATTACAGAGACTTTCTAACAGAGGGAATTTTTCTCAGTAACTTCTATCATTACCATTTAAAGAGTCTTTTTTCCCTCTTAAATGTTTTTCGTTTTATTTATGCATAAATTCTGTTCCTGCCCATTTATAGATGAATATATTTATGTTTGCCTAAATAACTGTCATGGGCACCTCTGCAGATTTTGTCAATGCTTAAAATTATATTTAATTATCTAGGCTTGGGTTTTGGTTTGTCTTGATTATAGTTTCTTGCAGTACTAACACATATGACAGTGACAGTAAAAAAGCACGTTGCTCCATAAAACTGGACTGGGGGTTTGTTAAAAGATCAGCTGTTGGAATATGATGTGATGTCTTCTATATTTAATGTGCTATTGTTTCATATGAATAGAAAGTAGTTACCTTCCTGCAAATTCAAAGGTCTGATGACAACTCAGTGTCACTGCCCATTGAGTTTTAACTGCCCATTTGAAATTTCAAACCATCTCATAACTTTCCTGCTGTACTGATTGCTTCAGTTGAGTACTTTCTTTACATTATTTTAGGTCTAGAAGTTAATGTAGTTGCATAGATAAACAGAAGTTTTTCTTTTGCACTACAGTTTTTCTCTTGTGAGTCTTTGATTTTGAGAGGCAAACAATACCTGCATTCCTTTCTGCTTAGATTCTAGTGTCTAAGTTTTACTATATTGCAAGTAACTTCTGATCTAAGCAAATCTGCCCTGAAAATGATACAAAAGGAAAAAAGTTGTTATGACTGTAAACCTAAGCATTCAAAAATTAAGAAAACTTATTTAATTTTCCTTCATTTTTTTACAGTGTTTTATTTTGTTAAAAAGGAATTAATCTATTTTTTAAAATTAATTATCTCGTACTTCAATAGTACGTGAAAGAATAGTGTGTCTGTTTCAGAAAGATTAATCTTGGAGGGTGGGTTGGTGAAATTAGGGGTGATGAGGTGTTTCACCACGTTACAGAACTGCCTAATCTTGAATGCCCGATCATAAGGATGCAGTTTTTTACAGTGCTTTGCATGTTATATTATTTCAGTAAAATTGATTTCAGTATCAATACTAATGTCATTCTTTTCACCTTTAGCTGTAAATGGTCCAGCCTCCGGCCTTTGAAAGCCTAGAGCATTAGGTTGGAGACCTGGGAAATACAAAACATATAGACTACTCAGAAAAGGCTTAACATATTTACTCAGCGTTGCAGAGGAGCAAAGTTACTGAGGTGGCAGAGGCAGAGAATGCATTTCTTTATGAACACCAATATCTTAGCATTTATTTTGTCCTTTAGTATCCTAGGAACTCTTGCCTTATTCACTTCTGACTTCTCTGGAAATACCCTGTGGCTTTATGGATAAATGTGTGGGGTTTTTTAAAGAATTCTAACTTATCCCCAGATCCTCCTGGGCTCTGGATAATTTTGTGATCATGTTATTTTCTCCTGTATGACTTCTGAATCAAGGTCTAAATCATTTTACATAAGCACAAAGTCTATTTGCAGGCTGTAAAAACCCACTGCTTCCCAGCCAGTTCTTTTTTGCCATCTGTCCCTGTTCTTAACCAATCTCATCGGGTTTCATGCATGCATTAGTGTATAGATAATCTTCAATAATTATAAATATCTAGTTAGTGCTGATAGCAACCTTTATTGACCTGCATTTTCTTTCCTCATCACTAATAACTTGTTTTAGCTTTCTTCCCATTTTTTCCTCTTTGTGCAGTCCATCATTAAATCTGTGTACCCACAACTCCTTTTCAGATGTTACCGATTCTCCCCCTACCACCTCCTCCACTAGTAGGCTGTTACTTCTTTTACTGAGTCAATGCTTCCACGGTCCGTTGCCAAACTTATACTAAATCAGTCCTGGACTCCCTTGTGCTGCACCTCATCTCCCAGTCTCTGTGCTTATGGGACATAGAGATGTCCTTTTTCTTCCCTACTGTCTCGTGCTTTCCCATTTTTGCAAGGCTCCTAGCCTAACCTTCATGAATCACTTCTCCTGTCCGTTTGAGAGGTCCAGGTTACTATTCCATAGTGTCTGAGTGTCAGAAAGAGAGTGCCTCTCCCTGAATTTTAGTGCCTAGCCCATGGCATTTGGGAAATGGAGTGTGAGAGACTTAGAGTAAATCTCTGAACCATCTGAATTCTTCTTTGGGAATGGTGTATGCACACCTTGGTCAGGCTTATAAACTGAGAGAGACTGTGCCTCTTCAAGGAATTTTCAGGGATTTGAAAGCCTTTGGGCATATGTTAACTGAGATTTTTTTTTCTCTCGTTAAAACATATCCAGATTTAAGCAGATTCTCATAGGTGCAATGAAAGACACATCTTTGATACCTTGTGAAATTTTGAGGTTTTAACCCGCAAGGCAGGAGTAAGTTTCTCAAAGAAGGGTTTTGAGAATTTTTTCTTGCATTGCATATGAGAAATAACATTTTTTCCACATGAGTGTTACTTCTGAAACTGCAGAATTGGTTTTACTGAAGCTTTCTGAAGCTTTCAGTCAGAGAAGCAGCAGTCATGGAATCATCTTCCCAAACTACCTTGAAAGACATTTGCAACTGAAAGCAACACTTTAACTAGAAATGTTGGGCAGCTTCTGTATTCATGGCTCAACCCCATTTTAGGCACAGTAGTGAGTAATGTATGACTGGAGTTGATAATGATGTTTCTTATCTGAGCTTTGATACTACAAACTCTTGTGTAACTTTAATCCTTAAGGATGTTTCTGCTGATAGATGATTTTATTTACTGAAAATACTAATAGTTGTGCAAATATGTAAGAGGTTATAGACCTTTGACAAATACTTTCTTTTTTAAAAGTGGCTTTAGGATTGAAATGAAATTCATAGAATTACAAATAATGATGAGCATAACTGTCTCCTTATAGATAGAGTATTAAGGATTTGTCATGCTATCGGCACACAGATTGTGTTGTAGTACTACATACACCAAAATACAAGTACCATTTCAAGCTTTTGTAGGGTAAGTGAAGTAAAAAGCTCTATTCACTTTGTAAGAAATCTCCTTCCACAGTACTTAGTATGCAAGAAATGTATCAGCACTCAGAAAACTAGGCTGAGAAACTGTGCTTGCCAACTCCAAATTAACATGGTAAATTGATTTTACTGATTTAAAGGATCTGATCTTTTCACTAGTATTGCAGCATTATTCTATCTGTGGACAAATTTTAAACATATTTCAAAGCCTCTACATTTTGAAACGTATGTTCTAGATTTCATAGAGTTAGTTAGCACTGCAACAAGCAGAATTTTGACCAAAACTTTATTTATGGTGGATTTTCTTTCTGCTGTGAAGTATCTCCTATTGTGTTTGAAAAACAAAAAGTAAACCCTTTTTTTAAAGGAAAAAGTAACGCTAGTAATGATTTCTTAAGAGTTTATTTACAATTAAAGTGCTTGGTGTTTTGTTTTTTTTTTCTTTTCTTGTCAATAGGCACAGTGGACAATTGGAAAACTGCACTGTCCATTCTGTGAGGCCTGCTTAGGGGGCTTTAACTTTGTTTGCAAAACTAAGTGTTCTTGTGGACAGTTAGTAAATATACATTTCTGCAAAAGTCGGACGGACTATCAGCCAGCCTTCTCTCTTAAATCCGCAAAATCATCAGGACAACACTTACCTCTCCTTAAAATTAAATCTAGTCCTAGCAAGGATATTTGTCACGAAGTGAAAACTGCATCTTTGGAAATCAAAAATCAAGGGCTTTCATACATGGCCAGAAATAATAACGGAACTGGAAGATTAACAGAAGCACTTTGCCTAGAAGTAAGAGCTCCCAGATTTGAGATTAAATGTAAAAAACTTCCCTTAAAGGGAAGAAAGAGGAATCTTTCTGCTTCCTATCCTATGAATGACGCATGCACTGTAAAACCTTTTCACAGAAGATCACGTAGTTTGGATTTAAATATCAGAGGCAGACTTGTTTTGTCACCTGAGTTATATGAAACTTGCAGTATGGGAACAATTTACAATGGCCAAAATGAAAATCCGTTTGTTTACACACAGAGTGGCCTGCAATTAGAGTCCAATAGGAAAGGTGGCAGTTCTTCTCAGGATCTATATAGTTTCAGTGCTGACAGACAGCTACAAAAAAAGTTTCAAGTTACTTCCTTTGCTACATTACTGCATAGAGAAACAGAAATTAAATGTGATTTTGAAGCTACCGAACAATCTTCTGGGAGTGCTATTGCTGATGCGTCACCTTTTGTGATGAACCTTTCTTCATCTACAAGTCCTGTAGAAGAGGAACAATACATCACACCTGTTGGTCTTCTGCAGCCTACGAGTATTTCCTTCAACCAAAAGCTGAATAAGAGAGAAAGAAACAAGTTGAAAAGCTTGAGGAGAAAACAGAGGCGGCGAGAACGGTGGCTACAGAAGCAAGTAGGTGTTTAAGATTAATTATGCTATTTTTTGGTAAAGTTTGGCTTGCTTTTGCAAATCATTCTGACTTCTTTTTGATGCTGTCTCTTAATATTGGTTTCATGTGGTACTGCTTAGAGTCAGGTATCCTGCAAATAAGTACTTATGACCAATTCCTACATGTAGTTTTTCAATTTCTACTCATGATGCAATAATAATTTTGAAATGGGAAAAAATACAGTAAAAATTAATCAGTGTGATTAAAAAACTAAACATTCAAATCTTCTGAATGAGAAACCCTAGCATTTCAGGATTTCCGAACTTTTAAGTAATGTTAAAGCATTTTGAGTTAACTTTACAGTTAATAAAAAATTATGTTTTAAAAGATATTTGCATCTACTATTTATTTTAACACAAATATTTTTCTTTGAGTAAACAACTGATATTTGCTATTTAAAATATTAGTCTTTAGTAGGTAAATATTTTGTCTAGAAATGTAACATAAATGTTACATATTCTTATCATTTATACAACTATGGTTTCCTTCTTCAGACCATCTAAAGCAGAACAGAATTAAAGACCATAGATTCTCTTCCAATTTTTGTTGGGAGGGAGGGGAGAAAGACCAGGAATGTATCTTAAAATTAATAACACAGGTTTTGTTTGCTCTGAAGTTCAGTAGAAAGACTAATGATATGTACACCTTTAAAAGAAAATTTCTTATCATAAAATTCCTGCTACACAATACTGTGTGGCTAACAAGAGCAAACATATTAACTCTCATCAGAGAAGTAGCGTCTACTCAAGAAACCATTCCTGCTTCAGGTAGGTATGTCATTGTGATAATATTCAAGTATTCCATAGATGAAGTGTGGTAACATGTAAAGCTCATGTAAACCTTATTTCACAGATTTTTTTAAAATGTGATTGCTTTACATTTTATATTAGTCAAGTCTAATTTAATATTTATGCCTTATTGAGAAATACTAAGCTTATTTGAATGGACTATGCTTAGGTTCGATAGTAAATTATTTTCATTGGTTTGCAGTTAATACAACAACATATATAGGACCACATTCACATATGAATCTTTTGTTAGTCCTTTGTACCTGAATGGTACAAAGGGATTTTCACCCTTAATATTCTGCTGCCCTCATACAGTTCCACTTCACTCGGACAGCAAGTGACTAAGAGCTCTTTCCTATAGACAGTCAACAGAGCCTTTAGAATACCGTAACGAATCAAAGCAGAGCAGTGAATTCAGGATTGAGAGAGAGAGATACATAGAGGCTGTCTCTCTCAATTAAATGTGAGAACCAGCTTGAAAATGTGATGGGTCTGGGACATATTACGAGACGTTTCAGTATGACGTGTATGTTCTTTCACCTTTGGGAAGGTTTTTTGTTTTGTTTAAATAAAGATTTAAATTGGCTTTGCGATATTTTGAAAAGTTGCTCTTATTTTGGAAAATGCTTCTCTAAAACTGAAAGTAAAGAACCTTTCCAAGATTTGGATGCTTTAATAGTAGATACTTGTTTTTAAATAAGTCTAAAGGTTACTACATGTCTCAATCCCTAAAATGGCTTTAAAAATTCCAGGCCTCGTATGTGTTAAATGAAATTATGATACAAAAGTGCAGTATATAAGAGCATTTGCACTATCATGTCATCTACAGTCATCTACACTTTAGGCTTTGTTAGATGTTACTTTCAAGAATAAAATATTATACAAATTTTCCAAATTCATGATAGCTAAGAAAGAAAAATATACTTTCAGATCTTTTTCTTGTTAAACCATGCTTAACCAAATCCTCCATTATTTTTAAGATTCATAGAGCAAATGATATACAGTTGTTAAATCTGGTATGTCTCATCAGTAAGCATAAGGTCTTCAAAGTACAATAAATTTAAAAATAAGTGTATAAAGTAAATCACATGGAATCAAATAGTAATATTGAGGGGAAACTATTTTGGTTTTGGATTGATTACTTTAACCTCGGTGAAAGTTTATGATTGCAACATGGAATATTTAAACAGGCCTGCTTCTCAGTCTGTGTGTCAAGCAGCATGTGTGGCTAGTGCAGCTGTGTTTCCCATCACTGTGCTTCACGTCCCCTTCCCAGGAGAATGTAGATCTAGCAAATTGCATTCTCTGTACAGCCTGACATGTTGCAAAAGGGGATACTCCTCTGCAATGCACTCCTTTTTGTGGCTGCTTCCCTCTTGTGTGCCAGTCAAGGTGTCCTCCATCCTCTTGGAAGTTCCACTTTGCTGTCCTTTTCCTTCAGCTGTTCTAACGTCCCTCCCCATAAAAATGTACATTTTGTTTCTGTGGTACTTACAGTAGGATGCTGATCTGTGGCATTTTGTAACCATTTCTGGCATACTTACCACATATGCTTAAGGAATCAGATAGCAAAACTTCACAGAGAGGGAAAAGCGTAAACCTCTGAGTGCATTGAGTGAAAGAGTTTTGATAAATGACAATGGGAAGTATTTCATTTAAGTATTCTTTTAAGACATACTTTAGTGCGGCAGAAACCCGATGCGAGGCGAGTCTCCTCTGTTAAAGGTGCTGTGCATCTCATTTTTAACTTTAATTAAAGCTTTTCTGGTGAGCAGTCCAAGAGAACAGACCTGTTCAGACTTTGGAATTTCTTTTTAAGTGCATAGGCTGCTTCTCTAGGTTAATTCTGTAATGTGATAACTTTGTGTGTCAAACGTTTTTTCTCTCTTGCACTAAGCCATAAATGTTGTGCTGTGGCAGCATGTGCTCTGTCATTATAAGCTGAAGTATATAAACCGTGGATTGTAAATAGGAACGATTCTGTGCCTCCTGGCCTGCGCTTGCCCCCAGATGCCTGCCCTAATTTGGGCTCTGTGGTGTAGATGTGGGACTGAGCTAGTCTGCTGACAGCAGAGGGACCCAGGCTGCCTCGGTCTGCTCTGCATCTCAGTGCCTGCAAGGGGGATACTTGCGTTTTGTGTGTGTCTGTGCCTGTGCACGTTTGTGTTCATGGGGGATTTTTAGGTTTCTGGTCAATCATCTAGGGTATGATGATAACTATTTAAGTCTAGGAATTGCCAGTATCAATAATGGGTCTTGTTATAGTGGCTATAGCTAAGAAGATTAAGTATTTCTGTTATAAATTCCCTTTTGTGTGTATTTGATACATGTTGGCATTTTTTCTAATGTCTGATGCTTGTAATAATTTTCTGAAAGATCTCAGACAGAAATATCATTTTGGGCTCCTCCATTCTCATTTAATTTCTCTTCACAATCTTTTTACATAGAGGAAGACTATGTAGCCAGCTTCAAAGCTGCACTGTCCTCTTGGAAATTATCTTGATCCATCGGAAAAAATATTGTTGGTGTTTTTGCTGAATTTTATAACTTGACACGCCATCAGTTCTTCTGTATCTTTTTAAAAACATGGAAGTTTTGTGTTGCAAACATGACTAGTTTTCATGAAGTGAGTTTGCTTTCATGCTCCCAGGGTAAACAGGTGGGTGAGATACTGCATCCACACTGTCAGGTGCTGTTATCTTGCCCTGCAGCCTTGCATTTTCAGTTCTCTGACAGCTGACAGTCCTGTAGTTGAAGGCACTAGGCTTCAAAGAGGTTAACTTGTGACCTTAGCTCACTTAATCTATGCTTGTCTCTTCTTCATGTGTACATTGGTTTATAATTCTTTTTCTTGCACTGTCATGTTTGCATCTAAACTGTAAATCCTTCAGGTATCTTGTCATGTGTTTATGTACTTGGATTTCAGTCACACTTTCTGTGATGATACTCAGAACAAGAATCATCCTCAGACAGTACGCATTTCTTGGCTGGCTGTTGGAGGGCTAAAAGCATTACTTAATGTTGGTACCAAGATGAAACAGGAAGAGAAGGAAATGAAATGAAATCACAGCCAGAGGAGGAGGCAAGCAGTAACTACAAGATCTCAAATGTGACCTTTGTTAGGGAAACATGAGGCCCTGGAGAGGTTGCTTAAAATAAGGAAAGAGGACACACAGGAGAAAAAGGGCAGTCCTAATCCCATACCCCGAGATCTGTACCAAAAGATAGTGAGTTTAATATGAAGTAATACTCAGTTGCAGTGACTGACAAGCTGTGAATCCCCAGAGTTAAGATTGTGGGATGCAATGGTGGGAGAGCATTTTGACACTGTGCAGTTCATACTGTATCTGCACGAGCTTTTTTAAGCACTTCCTCAAGTGACTGTAAGAGAAAGGAAGACCAAATATTAATATAAACCTTTTCAACCTGGGAAAGATGGAAACTCTAATTTCAGTGTTCAAAAGCATTCATGTCTGCATAAGTTCTCAAAACAACATAGCAATTTTTAAGTTCTATACTTAACCGGTTGAACTTACATTTAAAGCACAATAAACTTTGATAGAAAGAAGACTGAAGTGCTTTTGTGTTAACCTGTTGTTGCAGAGTTCACAGTCCTTGGCCTGATACACTCATTATTTACTCTTTTTGAAATAATAGTACTGGATTGATGGTGCTTTAGCATTAATGGTTTAAGAGCCACTGAGCAGCAAGGCTGGAGGGTGTTACATGCACATCTTCTTTATGGGCAAAGAAGCAATCTTAAGAGTGTGATTATTGTCAGTCCAGATTTAATTGTTAAATAAGAAAGAATAATATTGACATTAAGACTGTTTCGTGTGCTCACTTGTTCTTCCCCAGTTCCTGCGGTTCTGCCCGTGGCACTGTGCATCGGGTCTGGGAGCCAGCAGCAGGCCTTGGGGTCCAGTGGTGGGGAGCGTTACTGCCACTTGCCAGCATCTGGCGTCCTTTGCTGGGAGCAATATCATAGAATCACAGAATGGTTAGAGTTGGTCATTGAGCTCCAACCCCCCTGCCGTGGACAGGGACACCTCCCACTAGACCAGGTTGCTCAAAGCCACATCCAGCCTGGCCTTGAACACTTCCAGGGATGGGACATCCACAGCTTCTCTAGGCAACCTGTTCCAGTGCCTCACCATCCTCACAGGAAATAATTT